ATTGTATTAATCTTTGACTATGTAAAGAGAACTACCAAGGGAAAATAAGGAGTTAAATACAAAATTATTAGATTATCTCCTATCTCAATTCTCACCAAGTTGACGTGATATTAAAATGATATATTGATTGACCAAAATTAGTATTTAGAAGTATGAGAATGGAGGAACGTTATTTTTTATTGAATAAATTACATAAATGTTTATTTTAATACATATATTTCTTTATTTTATTTATTTATTTACGTTTTTGTATGAATGTGTAGAAAAATTAAAAACAAAATAAATAATATTTTCTGTGAATTTAAAGGAAAAACTTGTGTATCCCATTGCACCTGGCTACAGAAGCAATAATGGAAAATGCTACATGTACATAATAAATGCATAAAGGTATATATAGCTTTCACATGGTGGAGGGTCCACTTGATTTTTATTTTTAGTGAGTCTCACTCAATGTGAGTATTATGTACACCCTTATATATAATATTATGTACTTCTAGCATTACTCGTAAGTAATACGCGTAGATTGTAGATAATTTGAAGATGTTTTCTTATACCAATAATAATTTATGTCAAAATAACATTTTTTTCTTTTTTCTTTAGCAAAGTGAAAATGTGTCAAACTGATGGTAGACTAAGATGTTATTTCAGAAAATAATGCACGCTCTTTCCATTAAAATAAGTCAAGAGCATCCATAATATTTTTGGTTTAAATACAAAAAAATTATATGCCACCTAAGAAATAGACTCAGTGTAAAAAAATATGATATCCAGTGCAAATAAAAGTAAACTGAGTCTTGTTGATGTGCCAGCCAGAAAAAAGACCCGACCTACCCTAAAGTCTATTTACCCAATTAGAGTAGTCTCTTTGCATTTATCCATGACATCTAAGACTTGGATTTATTTACATGTCACATAAAAAAGACTAGACCCCACCTCAAGTTCAAAAATGATCAATTTAGATTCTGCTACACGTGGCCAAAGCCTGGGCATGTTCACGGCCCAGCCCGACTATAACTAAGGGCTAGTTCAAAAAATACAATAAAATAAAATAACAACTGTGACCCGTCTTCCTACTCGAGACTGGCCCGGCCCGGCGGGTCAAAAAATGGAAAAAAACAAGACTCAAGACCAACCCTTAAGGGCTACCGGTACGGTTCATGAACCGGCAGATCAGGGTCGGGTCGACCCTTGGCCATGTCTGATTCTGCATCCACATGTTCAAAAGTGATCATCTTCTGCAACCAATAAATAAAAGACCCAACGTAAGGAAATCCATAAGATCAAATAGCAAGCAAGAGTCTTGCGCTTTCCCAAAACAATAAAAAATTCAAGCCTTATTTTGTTGGCGGCATAATTTCAAAATTGGTCCTATAATTTGACCATTTTCCAAAAAACCACCACGATATTGACCATTTTCAAACTTGGTCCTATAATTTGACATTTTAATCAAATTTGGTCTTTTTTTAATCAATTTCGGTCCTTTTTTAATCACATTTTTATCCATGTTCCGGATAAAAAGGACCAAATTTGATTAAAATGTCAAATTATAGGAACAAGTTTGAAAGTGGTCAATATCGGAGTAGTTTTTTAGAAAATGGCCAAATTATAGGACCAATTTTGAAATTATGCTTTTGTTACCTTACAAAACTTGGAAGTCTCCAGTCCAAATGCTCTAATTCCCTCTAATATTCTTTTAATTTTTTAATGCTCTAGAATGTAGGTGCAGTCATATTAATTATTAAGAGAGAAGTGAATAGTGTCACTGTGTTGCACAATGGGCTGTAGATACTACAGATATGGGGGCTTCTTTTGTTTGGACAGAGCCCACATCACATCATTCTTCATCTATCTACCCCAAGCTTTTGATTGAAAATATCACCAAGAGTTTGATTTAAAATAAAAATTCAACTTTCTTTTTTATTATTATTATTTATCCCAATGTCGACAAACCTTACATCTTAAACAACTCATGCCGAAGATAAACATATATTGAATACATATTCATATTTTATTTTTATTTTTATTTTTTAAACAAAAGAAAGAATTGAACACAAAAAGCTCTACACACCATATTCTTGTTTGACTGAATGCCGAAAAGCAGCAGTTCAACTTCATATCCATTTCACAGCTTTACTCATTGGGATGAATCTCCTCATTGCTCTTGTTCCTCCCCCGGAGCATATCGGTAAATC